CCTGACGAACGGCGACTATCGAGGTCAGAACGCGAGTGTGATTAAGCACAATCAAAGTGCGCTTGGCGATAAGCCAGCTACCTAGGGAGCATACATTCCGCTCTTTGGGCTATGCTACCCTAACTCAGGCTCGCGACTATGCTATCCTCCCTATGCTGGGACGCTCATAATGGCCTATGCTGGCTATGCTAAGTCTGCCTTATACTGGCTATGCTCATGCTACACTATGCTGGTGCTTCATACTAGCATACTCGGATTCTAACACGGTATATACTTTTTCTTTTTCGTATCCACTTGTAAAGTTTGTGTTGTGACTTGGTGATCCGTTCGGTTTGCAGGTTTTCCGATAGACGCGTTGCGTTATCTTGGATGATGGTTGTTCCTATGTCCTGTTCATGTCTTGGCTGGACGTCTCCACTATCGGCTCGTTCATCATCTGTTCGTATGCGACAGTTTGATGGACCCGTCTTCATATGTGAGATCGACGTTATAATAAACTATCCTAACTTCCTAGCCACCGCCCCTGAACTTCGACCACGCGCTGGTCCTTTGTCTCGAAAATCATCCCATCGGGGCGGCTGATATCGTCTCCGCGTTACATGCAGCGACCTCAATCAAGCCATTCTAAGCATACTAGAACTTACCGTGCTGCCACTAAATACATGACATTGTACCGTGTACTCGAGTACGTATTAGTTGCTATTAAAATTTTGTCATGGACAAGAGACTTAAATTTTGCAGCTAACCTAAAAGGTAATCTACTTCAAGTCGATTTGCAATCCATGGAAGATGCGCTCCGTAAGCTGGATAGCCATCTCAATCGCATTGCGGACGTAGACTATGCGACGCGACGGTGCAGCCTTCAGGGGCTCGTGAAAATTCTAAAAGAACCAGCCGTAATTGCGTCGAAGCTCGCGCACAACCAAACGACCGTCGAACGCTTACTTATTGCATTATTGGACCGTTTAGCTGACCCGATGGAGAAATGTCGAGATCTTTCGCTATTACTAATAGAGAAAATCGTTTACGATTGCCAATCAGTACACCTTGCTCAAAATGCCCGTAACATATTGCTAGCTTCATGCGCGAGGTTTGGGGATGACCCTTTCCCCGAGCCCGTGGAAGAACTTCGACTTCGGCATCCTTGCAGAGTGATGAATGCTTTTGTTCAAGTGAAAGATATAGCTGGTCGTAGGCTGATTGAGATTTGTAATGCGGTATTGCTTCGCTTGGCTCAGGACCAGGCTTCCAAATCTTCGGCTCTAATTGTAGATGAACTGCTTCCAGCACTCACTCACGCGCTCACCGATTCACTGTCAGAAGCAAAGCGTGCAGCGGGAACGGCTTTACGTCAGGTTTGTAAAATTGCACCCTGGCAAGTGCCTCCACATATTTTGGTTGTGACAAAGCATCTCACTTCAAATCTGGCACACCAGCATGTGAGCATTGCAGTTCCCTTTTTTCTGATCATCCTTCTCAGACACATCGACAGGCCAAGACTCGGGTTGCGATGCTCGAGGCACTTATTGATGCTCTCGCCGGAGACTCATTTGTGGTTTGACTTGACTTCTGAATGTAGGTTTTGTGTGCTTCATCGGCATCAGAAGCCTTATCGAAAAATCTCATTGAGGTGGATAGCATGCGACTGACTTTGCGTCGACGTTGTGATACTTCAGGTTGTCTTGCCAGCCTTCTCGGCCATCTCACGAGACCGGTCGGCCACGGCAACTCTGCAGTGCAAGACTTTCGACGGAATGAATTATGTTTTCAGGTTCGAATTGCCTTTGCGCGTGTATTGGGAACCCTACTTACTTGTGATGGCGTTTGCGTAACCTCAGGTTCTCACGCTTTGGTTTCAATTGCAGTGTTACTCCTAACTAACATCATCTGATGCTTAAAATTCATCCCACAGTTTCTATCACTATTGTTAGACCTCATTGCCGACGAGACACCTGAAGTCTCAGCTACCGGTCTCGACGTCATCAATGCAAGTTTTGTCGTGGCTGCGCCACACTTATAACAACGCTGTGCAAATAGGCAGCAGGAGTATCATGGAGTGCATTTCATAATCGTTCTGAAATTAAGCTCAAAGAGCGCGTCACCTCTCGTGATAGCCCGGCGATTCTCCAGTTATATCAATCAACCCCAGCGGACTTTGCATTCGTGACAGCACAGAAGACTTCCCCAGCCGGCCATGCCCTTGTGGCTGCTCATTTCTCTGATATCATTCGCTGCCTGCGGCCACACCTTAGCCATTGGCTACCGATGACTCGCGCGTTTGCGTGGTGGAGATTCGCTCACACCGGCGCAAAAATTTCAATATAGGCGCGCGCGGAGCTCAGACTCTTGCGGCACTTTCTGCTTTTGGTCGGGTTGTCATCTAGCGGAGTGCCTTACCAATTCACCTGTTCTACAGAGATATATCTTAGGCTGACTGTTCTCACTTGTCCCAAATTATTTGCAGCTACAGTTCACTTTTTGCGTCAGATCGGTGAATTCCGGTCTCTAAATTGCTCTTGTGCAGGCCTATTGTTGAGTGACGAAGATAATGACGTTCGATGTGGAGCGCGTGCAGCAGCACGTGCATTAGGCGCCTCATCAGATAACCCAGAGCCACTTTTTGATAGCTTTCTATCATTGTCACGCACTATGCGATCCATTCCCAAACGTGCGGGCCTCATGCGCGTCGTCTCAGCTGTAATAGGTGCTTCATGAGTGCTAAATGACTGACGACGAACTTTCAGTCTTCAAAGGCGCCATGGATCCAGAGTGCGCAACTCTACATGCTAGTCTCGTCACGACAACACTTGCGTTACATGCAGAAAAAAATGTCAATGAGCGCGTTAGTTGCAGGAATAAATGCTCCGATGCTGCACTTTGTCAAGCTGCGGCAACGCTAATTAGCCACGGGCTGAATCCACTAATTTATCAGTTCTTTACTATGACAATTGCTCCAGAAAGTCTTTGGTCTCAGGTGCTTCATCTCTCTTCGACAAGGACCAATTGATGCTGCTGCGTGGACTTTTTCTTTCGCCAACGTGTTTGAGAGCCAAAGCAGGAGAACAGATTTCTCCTCATACCGAAAATTTTGCATCGCAATGCGTACGTGGCCTTTGCCGGCGAGCAAAGGTGGCTTCGGTGGCAAGTCTCGTCGAAAAATACTTTGACATCCTGGTCAGATCCATACCAGAGATGCAGCCACGCAACAACGTAGCAAGCTGGTTGATTTTTGAAGGAATTGTTCGCTTAGCCCCGAGGGCTGCAGCTTTCGGTTTTGATTCGCAAGTGGGCCAAATAATTGTCAAGCATGCCAATCCTACCCCAGGAGGGGACATAAACATGCGCATCCGCTCTCTCAGGTGCGTGGGCGGTTAAGAAAATATTTTCCTATCGAGTCGCCCTTTACAGTCTCGCACACACGCTAATTCTCTCATCTGATGCTAGAAATGAACTTTCCGACAGTGGCGTAGACATGCTTGTGGATTGTGCGCCCCTTGGCATCTGGGCCCTATTTCTGAAGTGTATACGCAGGTGTGATCATACCAAATCTTACCTGGGCCGCGGGGCGCACAGCAGCAGCGACCCGTCCTCTTTTAAGAGCCAGCCTGAAACATGATAATGTATAATTTGCTAGAAAACGGGTGGTTACAGGTAAGGCCGCCCTGGCAATTTTACATGCACTGCTTCAAGGAAATGGCCCCACTCTAATGGACACACGAATCCTGTACACTGCCGCTCTGATCGGATCTGCCCCCAAGCTCATTCCTGCACTTCAAAGCTGCTTTGAGGATTTTGACACGTCAATGCGTGAGCTTTCCATCAGGTGCTGGGCTGAGCCTTTGAGTTGAAGATATCTTCTCGCCCGACTTTGTATTTCGTAGTTGTTTAGAAGCTTTGCTCCGCACGGTTCCCATGGGTTCACTGAGCCAGACAGTGGCTCATGGCCTTTACCCTGCTATCGTAAAGCGTCTCGATGATTCCATCGACACGATTCGAGTCTACACTTGCAGGGCATTTGTCGCGTCCTAGGGACCCGTGTCTTGTTCAGCATAGAGTTGACTTACCTTTTATGTGCAGTTTTCTGAAAGCCTCGGAGTCAGAAGGATTAATTGGAACGCCACTCGAGTTCTGCGCCGAGCAATTATTAGTGCATCTAGATGATCCGTCTGCTGAAATACAAATGGCAGTCTTCGACGCGCTCCGTCAGATGATATGCTTCGACCAACTCGCGGCGATGGCAGTCGCAAATAAAATTAAAGACGTCCATGCCTCACACCGTGACCCATCTTTATGCCATCAGCTCCTCAAAGAAGCTGCGCTGCATGATAAATCTCCCTAATATAACGGGCGGCACTAGCATCTGCCCGCGGGCGCTCTCTTAAGGCAGTATCATCCATCTATCTATTTAAACGGTTTTTGTAAACTGACATACAACGAGCTTCGACTCCCGATAGACGCACCCAGCGGGGCTGGGTCTCAGAACTGGTTTCGACAAAATTAAACCCCTGATCTCCGAAGGATATCTTCGGGGTGGTGCAACTCGAGTCGACTGGCGCCAGCGAGGCCAATTTCACACAGTGGTCTTCTCTGAGGCCGAGCGCGGCCCATGCGACTTCTGCCCCTGCTGGCACTACACTCCTTCAGTTCGCTGTCTATAAGACCTGGAACTGGAGTAGAGGCGATTAAGGGAAGGAAGGTGGGCACTAGCAGGATAAGCAGCATAACATATCCCGCCGGCGGGATATGTTAAACGCCGCTTCAACTTAGGCTTCAACCTCCCATGTTGCGGCACTCAACAAGGACCCCAGCACCGCCACTTGCCCTTCAAAGAGGTCCTCAACGCCGCCGCTCACGACTTGTGGGGGGCCTCGAAGGCGCCGCCCAGAGCCAAATCGAGCATGAGGGGGGCGCATAATACAACTTGACTTTTGTTTATCCCACCCCTCAGAAACCGACGCGTTTGGTCGCGTGGGACAGGCCCGCGAATTTAATTGAAACTTTTTTCTGTGAGATCCATGGCTTTCATCCCGCCAGCACTCTGGAATTTCCCACCGCGCGTCGCCATCGGCAAGAATTTGCTGGTTGTGGTGGTCCTCTCCCAGCTCGCCGCTTCCCCGGGGTCCGGGGTGGCGCGGCTTATATTTTTTGGCCCGCCCACCACCCTCCTTCGGCACAAATGAAGCACCCGCCCTGCCCTACCCTCCTCCATCCCCGCTGAGGTGGCTGCGCCATCCAAGCGCGGTCCGAGTCCGTCGGCCTTCATTCTGGCACCTTTAATTGAAACTGAGCTCAACCTCCCCTCGAGGGAGGATCTTACTTGCTTCCTTTAGCTCAGGCTAGTGGGAGATACGAAAGGCCAAGTGGACGGAAACGAGCGTGGCACCCGTGGTTGAAGTTACGTTGAACCCTAGCTATCGTGGTGTGTATGCTAGTAGGATGTAAGTTACCTATTGTACTGGTCTAGACTTCCTCGGTATATTCCCTTGGCGAGTGCAGATCAGACGTGCTGGGATGTTAGACGCTTGGATTGCACGCTTGCATGAGAATCGTCGCATGGCCGTGCGAGACGCGTCTGACTTATGCGATCGAGCACTTGCGATCATGAGCCGAGAAGCAAATGTAGCGAGTTTTCGTGACCCGCCCTTGTATGGTTATTGAAAACCTGCTAGGTAAAGTTGCGATCTCCAATCATCATATGTGGGGATATCCACGGCCAGTATCGTGACCTCCTCGAGCTATTCCGAGCTGGTAAGACTTGAGCGTACTGGTGGACACGAATTGATTATCAAATCAACATGTAGCTGGCACACCTCCTCGGGCTCGGTATGTTTTTCTTGGTGATTACGTCGACAGAGGGGGTGAATCAATTGAAGTCTTCCAACTTCTATTGTGCTATAAAATAAAATATCCAACACACGTTACCCTACTACGAGGCAATCACGAAAGCCGACAAGTCACAAAAGCATATGGTTTTTATGATGAGTGTCTATTAAAATATGGATCTTCAAAGATTTGGCATGATTGCTGTCGAGTCTTTGATGCTTTGAGCATCGCCGCGACCGTGGACGAGCAGATCTTTTGTGTCCACGGGGGTTCACCAAAATGTCTAAACTTAAGTGGTTCACATCGAAACAATTATGCTTCGTCATTGTGTAACAAATGAGACGCGCAGGCCTCTCGCCAACGCTCCAATCTATTTCGGAAGCATCAACATTTGATCGACACTGTGAGGTACCTGACGATGGGCCGATTTGCGATCTGCTGTGGTCAGACCCCGCAGATGACGATGAGGGTTGGGTATTTTCGAATCGTGGAGCTGGTTACCTTTTTGGTGTGACAGTAACCACCAAATTCCGGGAGAGAAACAACGTGCGATTAATCTGTCGGGCGCATCAGCTTGCTATGGATGGACATCAATTTCATTTCAACAAGTCTGTCGTCACAGTTTGGTCCTGTATTGTTGTGAGGCGACGCACCTAGATCTGAGTCCCTGGCCATAGGTCGGCGCCGAATTATTGCGGTAGGTGTGGAAATGCAGGGTCAATTCTCAAGCTTTGTGGTGAATTTCGAGCATCGGCAGTGACTTTTGCTCCCAGACTGAACATAGTGTAGCCGCTTTTGCGCCCGGCGGAGCGTGTCGCAAGAGTGCAGTGGGCCATGTACAGGCGCCCACAAGCCCGCGGGAAATTCGACGCGCTATAGTTTAGACCCCGCCCGGCCCCCCGGCGCCCGCCCGCGGGAAACTCGACGCGTTCTAGTTTGGATAACATATCCCGCCGGCGGGATATGTTAAACGCCGCTTCAACTTGGACTTCAACCTCAAACCTTGCACTTCAACAGTGACCTCAACACCGCCGCTTGCCCTTCAAAAGGGACCTCAACACCGCCGCTCGCGCCTCGCCGGGGACCTCTGACGCGCCGCCCACGCCTTAGGGGGCGCGACCCGCCCCATGCCACGTGCCAGAAGCCCTCCAGAAGCCCTCCAGGAGCCCTCCAGAACCCTTCCGCGGACCCGAAATACCCCAAACCCCTTACGATTTTGCGATTTTGATTCCCCCCACTGCCTTGCCTTGGTAAACTGCCCTTCAAGTTTCTTTAAGGGCAAACTGCAACGCCGCCCCAAACCACGTGCCAGAAGCCCTCCAGAAGCTTCCCAGAAGCCTTCTAGAACCCTTCCGCGGAGCCAAAAAATACCCCAAACCCCTTACGATTTTGCAATTTTAATTTCCCCCACTGCCTCGTCCTAGTAAACTGCCCTTCAAGTTACATTAAGGGCAAACTTCAACGCCGCCCCTTCAGCTTCCTCAAAATAGCAAAATGAAGACTTCAGGGCAAACTTCAACGCCGCACCTCAAGCTTCCTCAAAATAGCAAAATGAAGTCTTCAGGGCAAACTGCAACGCCGCCGCTTACCTTGCCAACTTGCATTTCAAGCTCCTTCAAAATGCCCTTCAAGCTTCCAGAAAGGCCAAATTTAAAATGTCATTAATTGTCCGCTCAAAAGACTCCTCGTAGCTTGTTTGTGCGCTTGCGGTTTGGTGCCTATTTAAGCAAGATCACGGCGCCGGAAAAGAATGGATGTTCATACACTGGGAAACGGCCGCAAGTGAAATTAATAATATTATAACTGATAATCAAGATACCATCTTTCTCCGTCAATCAGAGGTCAAGAAACCCAAGGCACCTGAGACCGGAAAGAAGCTCAAGGCGCACCTCGCGTTCGCTGAAAAGGTCGCTAACAAAGCCCACAAGGCTGACATTAAACTCAAAAACGAGGATATGCAAATTAGTTTTTAGAAAAAAATGGCCTGCGATGCAATTTCAAACTTCATCTTCAAGATAGTTTGCTACAAGCAAGATTTTCTGCCACGCAAATATTTGATTATTTCACAAAATGGTGTCGTGGCAATTGCTTCCAACATAGAAATATTACGCCAAGTTCTTTTGGAATAAAAATGAACAAATTTGATAGCATCAAAAAAAAAAGAAGTAGCCGTAATAATATCTATGTCATTGATTTTAGAAATTTAGAAAACTCGCTAAAAGATTTGCATGTATATTATATCGACAATTCTTTGCAGAATTGAAAATATTCTACTAAATGATTTTCAGAAAATTCTAGTCCAAACTCCGCCCGAGTGTTCGCGGCACCGCAGCGCTCTAAAATATATTTGGACTTTTTGCCTTTCTTTTCCACGCCTTTTGGTTCATTTCTTGCCTTGCTTTTTCTTCTGCCCTTGTGTCAGCAATCCCATGTAAATCTAAAATTGGCTTAAAATAAGGGCGATTGCTAAGATGGAACCAATCGGATAGATTAATCGTATGATGGAACCAAGTGGTCGAGAAAAGCATGATGGAACCAATATTCATGCCTATGATGGAAACAATCTAATGCGGGTTTGTCGACGCTACCTGAACCAATACCACTCAATGGACACTTTGATCATCTCCATACCCTGGTGATTAAAAACCCGCACGCCCATTACTTAGTGCGCGTAGAAAGTTTATGAAATAGATGATGGAACCAAGACTTCGACGCGAAATACATGATGGAACCAAGACTTGCGACTCCATTTTTCACCATGTCCTCGACAAGGCTTATTGCTTGGTTCCAACATAGATTTTGCGCCATATGATTCCAACGTAGATTCGCGAAATGCATGATGGAACCAAGACTTGCGACTCCATTTTTCACCATGTCCTCGACAAGGCTTATGGCTTGGTTCCAACATAGATTTTGCGCCATATGGTTCCAACATAGATTTGCGCCATAAATAGGAAATAAATAGGAAATAAATATCTAAATAAATGCAGATAAATATGAACGGGCAAATAAAAGAGCCGAGAATAACGGGGGCTATAAATGGGCAGCTACCCCAGCCGAGTGGGGTCCGTCTCGATATAGTGCGCGACGGCGAGGTCCGCCTTGATAGGCTTACTCTTAAGGGAGGAGCTGGTGTGGCACTTTGATGGCCCTGGCTGGGCCAGACAGCAGCCAGTTTTTCTCGTGCCTGACGGGGAAGGTACTGCCGGTCTTGTCCATGCAGTAGACGTGGATCCGTGGCCTT